GCCCCAAAGTAAAGGAGATATTCGTGTCTGGCCCCAGGCCCTCAACCCAAGCACTGACCCTGGTGGACTCAGGGACAGCAGCAATGACCACTCATGGGTGGCTTCACCACCAAAGCAATCAGGGAATGCCTTTTGGTTTGTCCTTCCAAAATACATTGATGAAAACAGCCCCAAGCCGGGCTGTCAGCGCTGCTCTGCACGGAATGGTGCCTCATGGCTGATCGCCTGCTTGAAATTAAATTAGACTGAGCCTTGTGCCGGAGTGACCTCCTGCTTTGCTCAGCCCCAGGGAACCCACAGAGGGCAGCAACCCCAATGGGTGTCTGGGGTATCCAGCTCATCCCCTCTGTCAGGGCACATATAACCTTTGCTTACACAGGTTTTCTGCAGCCTCAGAGTGGTTTCACACATCCTTTTCTTGTGGGGGTTTTAAAATGATCTCCCTCCTCTTCCCTGTTTTCATAAACCCATGTCTTGGCTGGCAGAGTCAGGGACGTTAGGAGGGGACCGGCTGATGGGCAGAGACTCGCAAGCAAGGCAGCGTGATCACACTTCCTTAAACCTGTGGAAAAAACCCACTGTCATTGTTTATCTTCTCTCAGCAGGTTTTGTTTTTCCATTGGAAAAAGTCAGCAATGCAGCAAACAGCTTCATGAATATACAGATTGTTTCTGGCAACTACCAATTAGCAAAGAATGTGTTCATGCAATCCCCAAATGGCTATTTCCCTGGAAATTTCTTGTTTGGAACAAGCCATTTTTCATTAGAGGAAACACACACACCTGGACAAACAGTTCTTGCTGGGTCTTCTGATGAGAGGAAGCCTGGCGAGGGGCAGGCAGGCACTGCCATGGGCCTGCCGTGTGCCCTCTGGGCTCACACCCCCACGCCAGGACCTCCACCTATGCACAGCAGAGCAGAAGGACACGTACCCAGCCCACGTATTTGCACGCAGGAACACGACGCCTGCAAGGACATCTGCAAACAGGCCCAGGAAGGCAATTATAAACCCGGCTCACACACCTCGTACTCACTCTCAAGTCTTTCTGAATCTTCTGCTTGGATTGCAGGTCCGCCAAGATGTGTGGGGTAATATCCACCGGTATCAAGGCTGCTCTTCCATGACACATTTGCAGCATCTACAAGTGAGACTCAAGGCTCACCGGTGCCCCATTACTGGGGTCTTCAAAGATTAGTGTACCAACCTTTGCTCTCAGGTCCAGGAAGGACAAACATCCTGGTAAGCATGAAGACACCTGGATATGTGTAAAAATAAATGGTGTAAACATGTCAGTGTTTGGGTTCATTACAGCTACTAGAAAGCCAGCTGAGGGAATGTGGGGTGCTACTCATCACAGCCTATGGCTGACACCTACCTCTAGGTAAATCCTACCCAGAAAGTCCCAGGCTGAGGCTCCCCACTGCTTGCATCACCCCGGCAAGCCCAGCCAGAGTCCTTGCACCAGCCATGCAGCATGGAGAAAGAAATGCAAACTCGAGTCTTCCAGGTAACCACTTCACAGCTTTACCTGAGAGACGACGGACGTCATGAACCACAGACCAAAGAGAAGAGGCACTTAAAGTCAGATATGATGGACAGCTTTTTATTTTCCAACGTTTTAATTTAACAAAGTGCTACATTCCATAGTTACAGTATGAGGAGTTGTTCTTGTCTGAAATAGAAAACCACAAGAAAGCACGAGGACTGCTAGTATCACTCTATGGAAGCAGTGCAGTCCAGAGAAACCTCACCTAGGGTGAACATCTGGCATAGGAGACACCTTAAAAAATCAGCAGCTGTATAGTGCAGGTGCATTTCATCAGGGCCAGAGCTGCACATCAGGCAGGCTGGTTCCTCCTCTCGGAAATGGGGCTGTAGATGCCAAAGCAGTTGTGTGACGTCTACAATAAATTCTGGCTTGTGCTATCAGGAAAACCCAAAACTGAAGCAAGTGACTTGTCTTGTGCCCAGCTGAGAGGTTTTTATTGCTGCAGCAAAGTCACTGTTGTTGCAGCCGTGCCTTTGCATGGGGCTAGGGTTGTGTTAACAGTGTCGTGACCAACCTCTACATCCAGGGGCTTGCGGTTCACCCAGCAAGGAGGATGAGGAGGGTCTGTCTTGGCTGTTTTTCTTGTCCTGTCTCTTTCAAAAGCATCTGCTTGTTTGGCAACGCAGAGGTATAGATTAAGTCAGTAGAGCATTAAGGGACTGGAGGCTTCACCCTCCACCTCTAACTCTCCTCTGATCCTGCCTGCCAGCTGATAATTTCAAGCAAAGGAATCAAACTCCAGAAGTTGAATAGACAATATTTTTAAGAGCCCAATCCAAAGTCTACTATACCAGCCTTGGATGAGAAGGGAAGGAGCTGAATGACGCTTGTGCTTTAAGGACCTGCAGAAATTCCACTGACATCAAGGGTACTGCAGAAAACCCTGTCTGTGCTCCAAAGGCTCCTACAAGCTCCGCTGGGACCCAAGGCTGGTTCTGACTGTCCCTCTTGCCTTTACACCACGAAGAACTAAGCTGAGGGAGGACATGGGGAGCCTCCCGGCTCTGGGGCAGGTGCCTAGCCAAAACCAACCATTCAACAAACACCTCCACTTCAAAATAGACATCGGTTGGGATTTCTCTGCACCGCCAAGTGGCTGCGAAAGTTGGCCAACAGTAGTCTTCTGCCAGCCAGCAGCTTCCAAACACAGGATGGTGATGTTCAGAGCCAGAGGCAGGCCTGGGAGTGAAGCTGGACCACAAAAACAAAAAAAAATCTTTGGGCAGCTCTTCCATCCCACAAGGCTGGCTCCAACACAGACCAGAGAGCCAACACTGAACTGTGTATTCAGCTGGACCTCCCTTATGGCTACAACTCTCCTGCTTGCCCAGTTTGTCCCACCATATTTGCCATAGAACCACTCTGGTATTTGCAACCATTTTTTGTCCCCACTTGAGGCACCACTGATTTCCAGCATCCCAGCCACCCACTCCATATCCTCACCAAGTCAAGCCAAGCTCTTGAGGACACCAGGGCAACCAGACAATGCACTAAAACACCACCTTCGTTATTCTGACCGGCAGCATTGCCTTTAATTCCTTAAGTTCATTATGTTGGGGAGGGAGAAGAAGGGAGACAGTGAAACTGATTGCCACTATAGAAAGTCAGTGTTTCCCAAACTGAGGATTTATTAGCACCACAAAAGGCCACCACACCTCCACACCAGCCTTCCCAATCCATCAAACTGACAATCCATCCATAAAGCTCATACTGAGCTTCCAGAGCTGGGGTACTGAGTGAGACCAGCAGCCTCACTCAGCCGTCCTGCCTCCTCCTGACTGGCCCAGGAGTTCTGCGTTTTATCTGTAACTTAACACAACTTGTGCCGTTACCACACACTGCGCAGGCACAGTACCATTAACTGGGAAGCAAGAGGAGACCGTCCTCCACAGTCTGTTATTGCACAAAACCCCGCTGATCTCCAGCTGCTTGGATCTTGCTGGTACATCTGCTCTGTTCTGCAGCATTCCTGGCAGCTCCTCTTTTCCACTGTGATTTCTGGTCTCTCTTTTAGGCTACAGCTGCATGCAAAGGACTCAGCCAGCCCACCTACCATCCTTTCTGCTCCCACGACAGACTCTCGCAGAGAGGCCAATGTCTTTTGCCACTGCTTATTCCCCATGCATCCCTGGCTGGACCAGGGCAAAGCATTTCAAGAACATCTTGTGTAGTCTTAGCCTGCCTGGTGCTGTACCTAAAAGACAAGCCTTCCTGGAGATGATCTCCAGCAAACTGGAATGGAGAAGTCATTCCACCTTGCAACCCCCATCACACCTTGCCAGGAACAAATCAGCAAAGAGCCCAAGAGACAACATTTCCTGAGTCCCAAAACTGCAGAATAGTCACCAACACTCAGCCACCTCCAAGCTCCAAGAGACTCAGGAATGAGAAGGAAACAGGGAGCCATCAGTCTGGAAGGAAAACTTCTTAGCTTGGACTGATCACTTACTATGGAAGAAAAAAGCTTTAATTTTGTGTAGGGACACCTGGACTTAACAGTGGGCTCCCAGTCAGTGCCTGTTAAAGACGTGGGGCTGCTTTTAGCAAGGTAAAATTCTCCTGGTCAAAGTTTCAGGGATGAGAAGGGAGAGACGCAAGCCCTGCAGAGCCCTGGCTGGGAAAGCCTGTCCTAGAAGGATCAGGGTATGAAGGCTCCCCAACATGTTGAGGGACCAGGTTTTACTGTGCCTCCCCCAACCTGCTTCCCACGCACAGTGGGGTGAACGTGTGAGGGATCACACACAGCCCTTTGACTGGAAGACTAGCAATAGCAGCAGCATCTTTAAACCGGGTTGTCCTCCCTGTCCTTATCCAGGTGACTCAGTAGATATGTAGGTAAGGCCTACAGGGAAGTACTTGTGCTCTGAAGAGCACTGCTTGTATGTGGAAGAACATCACGTCTCATGACTTATTGTCCAGAGGAGGCCCTGACCCTCTCAAGAGAGAGCTGAGCTTCAGCAGGGTCTTCCAAATGTCCTCTCTACCTTGCAAACCCACTCACATGCCCACAAGACATTTGCTTACCATCATCAACATCTACCCTTCACAATCCGACAGGCCTTTTCTTTTACAAGCAATGAAATCCTGCATCCACCCCTCCTCAAACTCTCCCCACTTCCACTTCTTTGAAGGCTCAGTGGGATTTAATCTCACTAGATGGACAGTCTGTCCTTGTTTGTCTAATCAGGCCTCCTCTGGCAACAGTCGCTGTTCCTTGTATGAGGGATGATTCCCCACAGAACAGTGATTCCCACCTCAGAAACATGGATGTTTTGGATCAATGTCAGATTGAAGTCATTCCACAACCCAAAGCAGAGATAAAGCAATGCAGCCCTTTTTCTAGCCATTTTGACAGCATTTCTGTGCAAAGCAACATTAGTTTTTCCCTGCTTGGTTCCCGTAACATCCCAGACACTGGCTGTCTCCCTACGCAACCCGGTGCTAGCACCCCGTCCCACCCGTGGGGTTTCACCTCCACAGCCCTCTGCAGCCGTCTGTCCTACAGCTTCACCTTTTCCCCCACAGCCAAGGGTTCCCAGTAGGACCATTTCACCCCCCCACAGCAGACATCTCTCCAGCTGTGGCTGCTGCTGTTTTCCAACTATTAGCCACAAATCCCTCAACACCGACAGTTACCCACTCCACAACCTCTGGTGCCTTCCTGCATTCGGTGGTCTGGGGACAAGACCCATCCAGATCCCCCAAAGGTGCTGCTGTTCATGCAGCTTTCAAGGCCTGAAAATGAAATTTCCAGTGGGTAAAGGAGACAGATTCTCTGCTTTCATCTCTATGTGAATGCAGCCTTGTGAGAGAGATGAACTAATAACTAATGACCTTCAAACAGGAGTCAGAAGCTGAAGAACCCCCTGATCTGCCTCTTCTCTTACCTACTTGCACACTGAACAAAAGCTAAGAGATCCATGCAAAACTATCCGTCAGTAGGTGAGCGCTGGTATTTATTGTGCTGTAACAGACAGTGCTGCTTGAAAATGGACAGGGTTTTGTTCTGAATCAAGTGTTGAGGCCGTTCCTTTGTGTCTCCAAGAAGCGTGGAGCAGAGCTGAAGAAAGAAGGGGTCAGAGTCAGGGAACCGAGTGCAGAAATGTGCTTCAAACTGTACCAACAACACTGTATGTGGGCACTTCTCAGGTGGCGAGGGATACAGTTCAAGTGTATAACTCATTAATTAAGCAGAGCAGCTAATCTTAGCACTAATGAACTCTAGCTCAGGTAATGTAACATTTAAAATTAATTGGACAGAAGTCATTCACAGTAAAGATTTCCATTCCTGGGTTAGGTGAGAGCTATTGTTATGATTAGATTACTGCCAGCCAGGACCAAAACAGTACACCAGGGTAATTGGAAAATAATCATCCATATGGATCAGCTCCAGCTGTAACAAGACGCGCTGTGGATCTGAATGAGGCGCCGGGTGCGAATGTGAAATCTCACTACTGTATCAAAACAAACATCACTGCGTGGTACATGTAGAGCATAGCATGCCGTTTCGCCGGGGTGGTACCGACCACTGCTCGGTGGCTCGGGGCGGCGGAGAGCAGCGATGCAGCAGAAAGTTGCTTGTTCTTTTTCTCCCCCCTCCCTCTTTTTAAAAGTCACAGGCTGTCACAAGGGCACTGCAGTTCGATTCAAAATTCATCTTCAGAGCTGTCAGCTAAGAGCATGACTCGGTCTTGCATGCTGTTAAATTCCCTCTGCTAGGGGAAGAAAAGAAACATGGAAGAGCTCCACATGCATAAAGGAAACAAAGAGCATCTGGATCCCCCCATAATCTAACCAAGAGGTCCCGGACACTTCAACCCAGCCAAACCATACCCATAACCAGGCTGCACTCGCTTTACAGCCAAATTGGTTAACGGGAGAGTGGGTGGGTCTGGGGTTTTCCTCTGCAGTTGTCATACCTTTCTTTTATGTCTCTTTGAGCCATTTCTCCTTCGGCGATTCATAATCTTAATGCTGTAGAGCGCTCCTAGGATAAAGAGGGCTCCGGCTATTCCAACTCCTACAGGAACCAGCATCCCCGACATGTATCCTGCCTATGTGGAAAAGAGAGAAGCAGCACAGCGTTCACAAGACCATCTTTTCAGAGTAATTTTTCACCAGTCTAGGACTGTGATATATCCCTATGCTGCTTTAGTCAAAGTTTATTGTATTTGAGTCCCTATCCCACGCCTGCACAGGATGAGCCCTGCTTCCAGATTCCTAAACAAGCCTCCAACCAGCCCCACTCCAGGACCGAGCTGGTAACCACCACGGCTCACTCACCATCCTTTTGCTAACAGACACTTCCTTGTGATAGCTGAGACACTGCAGCGCTTACCTGCCTTCAGGAAACAATTCCGGTGCAGAGCTGCAAGTGCTGGGGTGAAGTGTCTGTTAATATGGGTGCACGTGTGAAGGAAAACCTCGACCACCAAGGGCAGGCAATCTCGAGCCACAACAAAGGCCTGTGTGACCACCAAAACAGCTCCACTCCATGCTGAGTAAAGCAGGCTGAGCTGCTCCAAGCTCCCCAGCATAAATCAAGCCCAGGTATTTATGCTCCCCAGCATAAATCAAGCCCTGGCCATGTTCAACAGAGCTCAATCCGGAGAGCTGAGAGCTGCTGTTACACTTCTTGGCATAAATCCGGAGTAGCAGCATGGCAGCGACCAGTGCGTCAGCACCCCACTGCCCTCAGCCCTCCGCATCCCAGCCCTCGGGCAGCAGGAGCAGGCAGAGAGGATGCTGCAGGCAGAAGAGCCGGTGTGTAAGAGCCACAGGGTGAGATGGCAAGGCACCAGGGGAGCGGGCAGAACGGGCAAGGAGCTGTTCTCAGGGAAAGGCTGCGCCATGAAGCAGGGACACTGACCTCTGCTGTGGGAGGTGGATGGGAAAGGGACCCAACACCCTCCTGGCCAGTGTCTCACCATGGCCAAACTGCTAAATATACCTCCAGTAAAGAGTATTACACAGCTCCCATGCGTCCCACCGACATGGTGGCATGGGAAGGCAAGTGTCCCTGGACACTAATCTCAGCATGGGGCTGGCAGATGTTGCTCCCAGCACCCACAGCTGGGTCTCTGAAGGAGCTGAAGCGCAAAGCCAGGCTCTGCTGTGCTCACTTTGTGCAGGAAGAAGCATCAGTTTGCCCTCTCCCTGCCCAGTGCAGCCTCCTTGGCTTCATACTCAAAATCTTTGAACCAAATGCTTTTACTTTGCATGGGCAGGGGCCACCTGCGTGAGCAGGATGATGATGTAGAGGGCAAGCACACACACCTTTAGCTGACCTTAAGGGAAGCACAGCAAATGTAAAACAGCTCTAATTCAGTTGCTGCAATCCATATGTTTTCATTGGCCATTACAAAAAGATATAGGTAGCACGACTAATTTAAAATGACACATTTAAACATATAAAATCCTTTGGAAAATATTCCCAAGTACTTGGTATTTTATATTTTATTATTTTAAATGAAAAATAACCCAAGTTTTAAAGTGCCGTATTGCTTCAGCATCCTCACCTAATTCAGGCTGGGGGGCTTCATGGAGTAAGGGAGGCAGGTACATCCTGGCTCCCTCCCTCATCAGCAGTGACTTTGTTCACGTTGCAGCAAGAGTCCTCTGCTGTGGCACTACAGCTTTACCCTTTGCCATCTACACCCCCCAAAACAGACCCCACACCTGCCAAGGGACACAGGCACAATTCAGAGGACTATGAGACAGCTCTCAGCAAGCCTCAGTCCATTGCTTACAACTACTCATCTTCATCTGCAATTCCCAAACTGCATCACAGCTTAACAACACATGCTTACACTGTAATTGCTTTTCTTCCATAATCCACTGGCGGGGGGAGAAAAAAAGCTATTCAGCACACACTGCCCTGGCTTTGTACACTTACCTGAACAATGAAAATAACTGCTTTCATCTAGGGCAGATACAATGCTAACAAGGACTGGTTTGCTCTCCTAAACCCCTCCAGATCCTGCTCAGTGCTTTAAATAGTAATATCTTTGTGCCTGGGTCCCAAGGCCGGAGGGATGTTCAGCTGCACTGTGCAGGTTCCCTGAACGCCCTCCCAGAACGCCCAGCCCCACTCAGCACATGTGCTTGGAGGGGGCTGCGTGCCTGCACCCGTTCCTGAAAAATGAGGTTGGTGACAACATACCTAAAAGACTGTCTCTCTGCAAGGCAATTAAAGTGCCTTAACAGGGTGACCTAATTAGTGCAGCATGGGTTTTTCTATTTCTGGAACTTTGCTGCTGGCGCAGGCGGTGAGAGGAGTCTGGAAATGGCTTTTTAGCTGCTGCCCAGTTGAGCTTCCATATCAGAAATCACTAGTTTTAATAAGATGAACTCCCTACCCTGTCCACAAGCCTTTATCATGCCTGGCCATCTCATGCCTTTTTATACGCTTCCCCCAACAGCCAGAAGAACGATTTCTACCCCAAAAGCCTGCAATGTGAAGCAGATCCAGGACCTGTTCTCCCAGCCCTTCTGTCTCATGCAGCCCAACTCACAGAATCACAGAATCATCTCGGTTGGAAAAGACCTTGAATCTCCTCCAGTCCAACCATTAACCCAGCACTCCACCAGATCCCTCAGCGCTGGGCCAACCCGACTCTTCAACCCCTCCAGGGATGGGGACTCCCCCCCTGCCCTGGGCAGCCCATTCCAACGCCCAACAGCCCCTTCTGCACAGAAATCCTTCCTCAGAGCCAGCCTGACCCTGCCCTGGGCAGCTTGAGGCCATTCCCTCTTGTCCTATCGCTTATTACTTGGTTAAAGAGACTCATCCCCAGATCTCTGCCCCCTCCTGTCAGGGAGCTGTAGAGGGCCAGGAGGTCTCCCCTCAGCCTCCTCTTCTCCAGACTGAACCCCCCCAGTTCCCTCAGCTGCTCCTCATATGACATGTGCTCCAGACCCTTCACCAGAACTTGTGAGGGCTTCTCCACTTGCTTGACAGAAAACTCCATTTCCCAGGCAGCTCTGAAGCCACATTTTTGACCCCTGCCCATGGGAATGATACAGCTTCTTACAGATCCTGGGGATGCTTTTAATGTACCCAATCCATGACCACAACCTTCCTGGCTCTGCTGGACTTTGAGATAACAGCAACAGAGGACTTCAGAGGAACCTCATGTCCATTATTTGGCATACCAAATGCAAAATCTGAACAGCGTTTGCAGGAGACCAACAAATCCGTCACAGACCCGTGCTCCTGGTCCCACGCTCCCCACACCCTTCCCTCTCCCAGCAGGGCAGCCCTGATGGACACAGGAGGACACATCTCTCAGGGACACGGCCGTCATGTGTCAGAATCCTCTTCTGGATGGAGGGATTGTAAAATAGAGAGGACAGGGCTCTGCCAACAGCAAATGAGAGGGGCACAAATGACTGGTGCTGAAAAACTCAACAAGGAAGAGGAGAAAATGGGGTGAGCAGGTTTATTTGCAAGTGATTTGCTACACCAGCATTTGGGTGGGGAAGTGTTTTTTGTTGGGCTTTTCTAAGGGAAAATGTGAGCAAGGTGAAAGATCTGCCTCCACACATCTGCCATTCCCCAAAGGAGGGAGATGGCTTAGGGCCAAGTCTCTCTTTTAAGTGGACAGTGGCAGATCCTCAGTTACACCAACGCTTGTGCTGGGCACTGCCATGCAGTCCAACGTCTACCTTGCAAGAGGTTCAGACTCTACAGAGCAACTCTGCTGGAGAGTGGAATGTGCACCCCCTCCCTGCAATGGGGAGGGACAGAGGTAGCCAACAAGGTCCTAAGAGGAAAGAAGTGAAAGCTACGGCTTCAGTGGGAAGATACCTGATGCCCCCGAGCTTGTGTTGTGCTGACTGGGGCAGGAAGGGCATGAGCAGGTGACCCATGCATGCTACATTCACTCCAGGCACTCAACCAGTCTTGGTGTCTGCTTTTTACCTTTGTTGGGAAAACCATTCTCTGTCCTTTCAGCATTCGCTCTGGCTGAATCCCAGGCCAAGGTGCTCTGCTGTGAGCACAGATCATACTAGGCATGCCTCCTTCCTATTGCAGGCAGAAAAGCAACTCAACAACGGCTGGGCAGGAACACTCCTTAAACCCTTCCACTCCCCACTCCTGGAAAACAGATACCCACACCCCGTCTCTCCGTTCAGGCTTGAGGGTAAGGCCCTGCTGAAATTTGGTGGGGAGAACATGGGAAGGCTGAGCTCACTGGGTCACAATCTGCTTAAGCTTAGAGATGTATTTTCAGGGGTTGGAGCTTCCTAGTGAATTATTCCCTGAGGTGTTTTTTTTTTTTGTCTATCGACTCTGATCTTATTCAAGAATTTCCAGGCCCTGTTGAAACACAAAATGTTCTTGTCTTAAAACACTACTGCCACCTCGTTTCTAGCTTCATAGCTTTGCTGTAGCAACACAACATTTGGAAGGCTTCATAACCATTTCAAAATGTTAATATTTGCTCCAGGGCAGCAAAGCCTAAAAAGCCATCACTGCTTGTGGCTGGCACAACTCTTGATTCCATGTACCACCACCCTGTAATGCCAGGGAGAAAAGATCAGGGTCTGTTATCTTTTCAGCTTTCCTGTGTTTGCTCTTTTTCCTCCCAGGAATTTGAAGATCTTCTTGCACATGGAGGCAGGAAAAGTCTCATCCAGAGGTGGTGGTACAGCATGCAGCCTCTCACCAGAGAGGATCACCAGATCCTCTTTATTTAGATCCAGAAGCAAGCTTAGGACTTGGAGAAAAGGGGTGGAAGTAAGTTAGAAGGCAATAAAAAAAGTAATTCGGGTAGTCTGAAGACAAGGTCATTCTCTAGTGCAGAAAAGTCTATCAAATACCCCTGTCCCTCCTTCTGCCTTTAGTTACTACCCATCAGGGATGTACAACAGCAGCATCTGGTTAATTTGCCTCCAAGGGAAAATGTTAAACACTTTCTTAATTGTCTTTATAGAGATAAAGAACTGCGCTGACAAGAGTTTATTTATTTCTGCAAGTAAAAATATTTTTGCTTTTAAAGTCATTGAAACACTGAGCCTCCTACCTTATCTTTCAGCTTCTCCATCCAGCTTCTCACTGAAAAACAAGACAAAAAAGCTGTAATCATGTTACTTATGTTATATTAATTAGTACAGAAATGATAATGATAGTATTAAAATAGACACTAATAACTTGACAAGCTGGTAACACTTTTCATTAGATTTCCTCTTCTCATTCATGAAAAAGAACAAATGCAGCAAATCAACATTAGAAACTCTTCAAGTCAGTTGGCAGGCAAGAAGCTTGCTTTTGCCTGTGCAATTCACATCTTCAGAGTGATTAAAAAAGGAAGATGAAACCCCGTATTTCAGTTAGTGGGTTTTTAACCAGCGCTTCTCATATGCGCACTGGGATGTCTGACAAGGAGAAAACCTTACAGCGTGGCTATCCCCCTTCCACTGGCCTCCTCCACACAGATATTCTTCCCTCTATTTGCCATAGCCTGTAACGATGACTAAAAAAAGTTTTATTCCCTGTCTTTTATACCCCTGCTTTTCTGGAAGAAGCCACTGCCTGCTCTGGGAAGTCACCAGAGGACTGGGATAGCACTGGAGGTGCTTAATTACTAAACCAAGTAAATTCACACTGCCATCACAGAGAGTTTCATTTCCTAGCGGTTACTGTAAGTCCCATGAAATACGATACCTAAGAATTAAGTCTTTAACGGCACGTACTTTGGGATAAAATACTCAGCAAATCTCAAAGAACTGCAAGCGCTTAGCAGCGGGTGCACGACTCATTAACTCCACAGTCTGCTGGATCTGGCTGCCCTGCACTGAAGACAAAATGCTCAGCCTTAGAGAGATCCACTAATATTTTAATTAATTCCTCCTCAAAGGTAAGTTAAATGTTGTGGGTTTTTTCAGTGTTCAGCAACTGTGTTTTAAGCCCTGGTCAAGGATCCCCATTTTTCCAGGAGAACAACGCTACAGGCAGCAGAAGGGGACTCTTGGATGCACCGATGTCCTTCTGAGAGATGACGTTTCTCCCAGGATGCATTAAGTCCCAAATGACACAACATCTGTGGAGTGAGACCCTATTTCCAAGCCTGCTTTCTTACAGAAGGTCCCTTCAAAGCTTGCATTAGCAGTATTAGAGTCTGCACATGCACACTGAATGGTTGGACTAGGTGATCTTCAAGGTCTTTCCCAACCTAGATGGTTCTGTGATTCAGGGCAACCATCCTCTGGAAATGAGAACCTTTGTGTGAGTGGGGAGGGTGCAGCACTAGGGCCGTCAGTAAATGGCGTTTTTATGTCTCAGATACAATACGGAGAAGCACAGCAGCTAGGAATTAACAAAATACAGCCCAGATATCAGCATCACTGAATTAAACCACACCATTTTAGCAAGTTCAAAGTGATCTGAATACTCCTTTTTTAACCATTCGCAACATAACACTTCCCAAACAGAACGATTCCAAATTACCTAGAGATGAAAAAGTGTGAAACAGGCACGCAAACTCACTTATCTCTGACAGGTAGCTGAGAAAAAAAAAAAAAAAAAAAGAGTTATCCAGGAGACAGACAGCCACAGCACTAGAAGAGGACAAGAGGTCTCCTTTTATCAAGTCTTCCCACCATTAGTCCTGACCTGCATGGACTAAGCCATAGTTAAATTAATTTATGAAGATGCCATCATAATCATCCTCTGCCAGTCCAAGCCTGCATGCCATGAATGTTACTCTCGGTGGAATAAGAGAGGAAGGAAACACACGGTTCCCCTGGGCTAGGTTTATCAGCCGGGTTTCTAGGTGCAACACTAAAACAAACACTGGCTGTAAATGTCACTCAGACTTGCAAGGAGAGCCCCTACACTGCTGACAGGCACGAGAGAGACCAAATGCTGAGAAAATTCTACTTAAAAACACAAATATTGCAAAACAAAGGAATTCATCCCAAAATTCTTGCCAAAGAGCATTCTCATGAGTCTCGCGTTTAACGACGCTACCGTTGTCTTACTCCAGGCTGCCAGGAGGAGCCGTGACAGTGACTCACAGTCACACAGTAACAGCCACAGCTTCAAAACCACAGCAAGCATTTTGAAGCTTTGAAGTGATGCCCTCCGTGCGCATCCAGACAGCTACACGTGTACACACGGTGCGTGCACGCAGCCGGATAACGGCGCTGTGATGCTCAGTTGGCCCTAACTCAAGCTAAGCACAAAGCCTATTTTTATATGTCTTTCACAATAATTGTATGGGATCAGTGATCTCGTCAATAGTCGACCCACTTTCTTGCAGCTGAACAACAGTGCCCCTAAAGCAGCAATTAATTCTGGTGTATTTCTGACAAGTCAGAGGCAGGGGATGATCTAATAATGTTCTACTATCTATTTTCAATGAACACAAATTCTGGCTTCGTTCCCCTCCGCTCCACAAAACAACAGCAGCATGTCCGTTGGGACCCACGGACTCTACAGTACAAATTTTGTTTGTTGTTTATACAATTGCTTATTATTAAAACCAACCTTGTTTTCAGCCATGTAGAGCACACGTCAGATACCTCTGTGAATCAACCAAAGCCACAGGAAAAACAACACAATGCGATTCCTTCCAGACTGGGAGATGCTCTAACGCAACCGCCAGCTGCCCGGCTGGGTGTCAGCCTCTGACCTGTGCTAGAGGAAAATCATGGCCCCAAATTCAGAAGGTAAAAGCATCGGGAGGTCAAAAACCTGGCTGGCCCCTCAACATCCAGGAAGGACCGCACTGGTGTGCAGCAGAGCAGGTCCAGCTCTCCTGGGCAGGAGCAGAGAGTGAGGAGCAGCCACAGCCACAGTCCCGGGCCCCCCAGCTCTGCAGCTGGTCAGGCTGAGGCCGTGACAAGTCAAAGAGCACTGGATTACCATGAGTTACAAACACTTTTAAAGTCAGTAAGGCACAAAAACTATTTTAACACCTTTGAGGAAATGACAAGCCACTGTGTCATTAAAGCCGAGCGCTTACTGCTCCAACTATTTACCCATATGCAGACACTATGGGCTATGGGTAGGAGATAAAGCACTTTTTCAAGTTAGAATTGATATCTGTGCTAAATGGCTACCATCAATTAATTCCAAACTTCAGACTCTAATTATGCATCATTATCCATAATTAATATTCTGAGCTTGGTCTTGGAAGAGGAACATAGTGGATGGCGCCTTCTCATAAAAATGCAATGCTCTGTGAGAACACTAGGTGACTTGCCAATGAGGGCAGCAAATAATTAGTAACAAATACTTTAGTCCATGTATTTTTCATCATCCCCTTTCTTTCCTTCCCTGATCACTGAATGTCCTGAACAAATGACAACAGTCCCTGTGTGTGAGATTACTAACAAGTGTTCTGCCGTGCTGGCTCGTCTTCTGTGGCATTTTAAGGATGGTGACTAGTCCAAACTCTCTGCTTCGGCTTAATTTCGATCCTTCGGTTTCATGGGGAGATAAATTAGATGAGTGTGGAGCACTTCTGAAAATTACATACATAATCTGACATTTCCTCAGTGATTTACATAATGTCTGTATCTCTTCAAATTAATTTTAAATAACCTATAGCTTAAGATTAAGCAGGTCAGGAGCACAGGGCATGGTTGTCTGGCATAGCTGTCAGAGCAGCCCAGGATGAATTCAGACACTTACAGATGCACCGTACTATTTTTAGTCCTTTTTACCAAGCTTTCCCCTTCAAAATGTGCAGCCAGCTATTAAGAATCCATGGTGCCAACTAAAGAAGTCAGGCTAATTTGCGGAGGTAAGCAGCAGCCTGTGGTGCCCGCGTGGCCCTTCCTTGGAGGAATCTGGTCCAAAGGGACAGCCAAAAAGCCCCATGAGCAAAACCCTTCTGAAAGTTCAGGTTTTGACAGATGCAAGCTGAAGGCTCAGGGCAATAGGTGACATCTGAGGGTGGGTCTGTGGTATATGGCAACATCTTCTTTCACCGTCAAACACTTCAATGCTATAAATGCAAACTAATCCTCGTGGGAGACAGCTCTCGTGCTCCCATCCCTCTCCTTTCCACTGTGTATTACAGCTTTGCATCCCCTACAAGAATAGATTCAGCCAGCTTACCCAAGCTGCTCATTTGCTTTTTGCAGAGCTCCTTTTTATAAAGGGAATGATCAGATATAATTTACAAGGGAGAATTGAAGTGGAAGAGGTTTGGAAACTGCCTTCAAGTTCATCTGGAAAGATTCTCTGACAATGAAGCATGATTTACATCAGGGGCAAATCCAGTATTTGTCACTTCTGACCAAAGGAAACGAAATGAAGGTAGCAGGACAGACCATATTCACCGCAGGTCTAAAACACAGTCCGACGTTGCCCTCCTAGGGAAGAGTCTGACCTCTTAGTGCTCTGCTCAGGATCTCGCTGCACCCTCTCAGCCTACAGCCCTGGAAAGTCTCACTACAAACAACTCACCTGAAAGAAGAGGGGATGTAACTGAGGGCAAATATATGGAAAAAGCACACAAAATATTTACTATACAGAATGTCCCACAGCTACTGAACACCCCCCACCCCACCCCCCCGGAGAACAGGCAGTTCACATGTACCATTACCAGAATCATAAAATATAGAATACTCCAGTTGGAAGGGGGCCCTAAGTCCAGCTCCCTGTGCTCTCCTTCCCTGAACCCTTATCGGTGGCCTTCACTCATGATCTCACTTTTTTTATTAGCGCTTTTTTATTAGTCAGTTCTCTTGAACCCTCTTTTGCTCTGGAAGCTGCAGGGTACTGGTGCCAGAGCCAGGCTCTGCCTTTAAGCCTCACCATAACACAGCATCAAATCTCTTGCCAAAGGCTTTTCCCTGCTTCTCTCACCAACCCCATCTGAAATCAGGAGCACAAGTCCTCTGGGTTTCATGCTTTGCCAACTTTTAGTAATCTTAATTGCCTAATTATCCACTCCAATGCAGTGATAAAACTGCTTAATAATTCTGTTCACTTCTCATTTATTCTGTCCCTTCCCGATAAGAAAATGCAAAGACTTTACCTTCTGGTGGAGATTTCAATCAATAATTCATGCACTCCTGCTATCAGTTTCATCTCCCCCTTCC